AGCTTGCGCTTGGCACCGAGCGTAAAGTGAAAAGATTAAATGGGTAATTTTATTTCTTTTACTGGTTCTAATGGTTGTGAACGGATCACAACATAGAACAAATAGGAGCACATTGGATTGCAATTAGATGTGCAATGCAATTTAGGGGGCAGTGAGACAGTCAGAGCAGGGCTGAAATGGAAGAGCACTTATGTCTATGGGGTGTCAGAGGGCATTGAGCGAAATCACTTTAGAGGGTATAAAGGAGACTTGAGATGTTGCTGGAGCATAAAACCTGCCTAATGTTTTTGAGTGGCCATAGTGGACATTGAGTGGCGGGCTTGTAGGGAGACACCAATAAAGACTAAAATCATTCAACAGTACTAGAATGTGACTATTAAATGAAATGTAAATATTTGTATTACTTTAAAAGCATGATTTGGCCTCAGCTAAGCATGTGGATCTACGTACTGATGCCTCCCCCCAGCGTTTTCACCTTTCTACAGGGAAATTACATCAAAAAGGGAATAAACACGGTGTCTAAATGTGACTGAGTCCGTGCTTTTATTTTGGCGAGATGTATGTTTGCTCTTCAGCTTATAGGCTACAGCAAGTGTTAAAGTAAATATATGATGATGATAATGATGATAAGCACACATGTGCACCGGATGATGCATGGTGAAAGGAGTGCTTTAGGTGTTTAAAGGTTTTTGATCTCAGCATAAACTTTGTCACCACCCGTCCCTGACCTTTTATCGGCAGCTGCCGTGCTGTAGCCCCTTTATCTTGTCGACCTGCGGAATGCCAGAGCTTTGGCCCCCAGCCGACAGGAGGGTGTTTATCACCGTCTCCGTCAGAGGAGAGAGAGAGAGAGAGCGAGAAGGGGGGGGGCTCAACTGCGACAGCATCTCCGCGGTGGTTTTAGCCTGTGAGTCATCGCTAGAGGGTTTAACTCTTCATCTCCCACGATGGAGGAGATTGTAGGCTATAACTGAATACTGTTTTACACCTAAAACATTAAACGTTTTTTTGTGACATCATTATCAATATCATCCAGTATCAGTATGAAAGAAAACGTGTATTTTTATTTTTTTTTTGGTACACGAGGAACACATTTTTAAGATGACATGATCTCATAAAAATGGCACTTAAAAGTTGCTGTTTACATCCATATGATGCATTAATGAACATTTTGGACAGTGTCCCTCTGAATTAAAATCCTTGTGATAAAATACAGCCTATTCATGCAAGGTGAAGACTCATAAACACACACATATATATATATATATGTATATTCACATAATCAACACATCTGCTTCCAGACTTTTTAAAGATCTTTTGCAGTCAACAGCTTTTTACCGAGCGGTGCTGAGCAACAGACAGCACGGAGAACTATTTTTAATACAGCGAGGTCTTTTAGTATGCCATATGATAAACCTGAATCATTTATATGGATTTTTAGGACCGGCTATTGCGTGTGTTGTGTGATGACGTGGTGGTCAGGTGTTGCCTCATATAACGAGGGGAGCTGTCCAAGTGCTGAAAACAGAAGAGAACAGCACCGCTCCTGAGGAGATGCCATACACCTTCACTGCTGTCTGAGCTTTATTGCCAAAGGTAAGCCAAACATTGTTTTATTTTATTTTTTGTATATGGTTTCATTATTTTTTTGTTCAAATAAATACCCCAGTGTCTTAGATTGGAGGACAGTCGGTTTTTTTTTTAACATTCGTTTTTCGCATATTTATGTAAGAATGGTTATCAGCGTGGTGAAACGCATCCTCAACAATGGGGGATTACACAATGGGTTGTTTCTATGGTGAAATAACGAGGAAGGAAAGGCTTTTTTAATGAAGGTTTATGTTGTTCGGAGGAAATGAGATGTTGAGGTTGCCAATAACAACGCGGGGAGTGACTCATCTAGTGATGTGAATGTATCTCCTCACGCGCAGCATCGTATCATTCAATTTGCGGAGCGTAACTCCCTGATAGGCATTCATAATTCCCAGATCAAAACAGACTGGCTCACGCCTCTGCTCGTTGCTTTCGAGTAAGTTGTCCAAAAGAAATGTTATTCAAGATAGAAATCCTCGACTTGGTTGATTTCTTTTTATAAAATTGCTTCACTAACATTTTATATTCTCTTGATTTGCAGGTAATAAATAGCCTATAATGCTGCATTTCCACCACAAGTTGCCCACGGGGGGAGCCGTGGTCCTGCTCGCCTTCGTTCTCCACGGATGCGCCGTGCAGGCTGCGTCTCTCCCCCGCCACTACAGGCTCCGAGGCGGGGAGAGCGAGGGGCAGCCGGCTGCCTACCCACCCAGCTCCGACATGATCAAAGCCCTGGAGTACATTGAGAACCTGAAGCAGCGGAACGGGGGGCGACCCGAACCCGCGGATTACGACGAAGTGGACAAGTTCAGGGTCCTGCTTCAGCTCGCCTCGCAGCAGGACGAGAGTCCCGGGGAGCGTCAGCCCTCCCCCGCCATGCAGAGGCAGGACATTACCGCTGAGCAGCTGATGAAAACCCTGCTCAAGTCTCTCCAGGATCAGGCCGGGAAAGAGGCAAAGCTCAGCCCCGTATCGGCGCCCAGGAACGACCGCCGCACGCACAGGCACCGCACCAAAGACACTGAAGTCCCCGAGAGCGCACCGTCAGACTACGGCAATTTCCCCAGACCCCACAAAAAATACCCCCTGATGTTTGAGGATGAGGAGAACACGGACGCTTCCAAGCGGGCCACGGAGGACCTGGACGAGCAGTACACACCCCAGAGCCTTGCCAACTTACGCTCCATCTTCGAAGAGCTCGGGAGGATGCCCACGGTGGGCGGCCAGAAGAGAGACGTGTTCGGGGACGATGACGACGACGAGGAGGGCGGATTCAGCCTGAGAAACCAGGCCTACGAGGATGTCGCCGGAGGAGAGGAGTGGGTCCCCATGGAGGAGAGGGAGGAGACGGAGGAGATGGTCAACAGGAGCCACGAAGAAATGGAGAGGGCGCTCGGTGAGCAGGAGGAAGCAGCAGAGAGGGAGGAGATGCAACGCAGGGCGAGCCAGAACCAGGAGGATGCCAATGATGACACCAAGCTGGTAGATTACTACCTGTTGAAGGTCCTGGAGATGAGCGACCAGACGCAGAGGAGGGATAAGACCGGAGAGCAGAGAAAGAGACTGATCCGCCCCTCCATCGTGGACCCTCGGACAGTGAAGGAGTTGCTGGAGCTCTCCCTGAAGCTCCACGTCCCTCCCCAGGACCTTATCGATATGCTGCTCACGGAGGAACTCAGGAAGCTCCACCGCGATCCCCATTCCTCAGCTCGCTACACGACCGGCCAGACCCCCAAGATCAGGTACTTCAGCCGCAGACTGCCTGTCAAGAACAAGCCCGCCCCGGAAGACATGGACCGAGAGGACTTTTTAGACATCATCGGCGTGGAGACTATCAGTAACGAGTATCCCGTGGTGCAGAGACCCCTGAAGACCTCCTCCTCCTCCTCGGACAGGATCCCAGTGGCGTCCATCCCCGCTGCAAATCCAGGTCCGGTTAAGATCCCTCAACCCGCCGGGCGCAGGGAGAACCTCTTTTTATCCGAGCTCAACAAAATGCCCCTGAAACGTCAGGCCGATGGCGGTGCTGATGATGAAGATGACGGCGATGGCGACGTGGAAGACGAGGTGACCACCTACCTGGCGGCTAAAATCCTCACAGAGTACCCCAACACCATCACCAAGCGGGACACCCAGGCGCAGCTGAAGGGGCAGTTCCCCTACGAGCTGTACGAGCGGGCCCTGAAGGACTACTTGGGGCAAGCGGACACTGAAAAGAGGCCAGTAGCCAAGAGGGAAACCGAAGTGGCCACAGAGGAGAACGTTATGCCCACAGAGATGCAGGGAAAAGAGGAGATAACGCCCAAGACCTCGGCTCCACAGACCGTAAAGGAGGAAGAGGAGAAGGAGCACCGTGAAAAAACAGTGGCTGGGATGTAGCCTGATGTCCTGCAAGACGCACGAAATTATGAATATAGTATTTATACTGTCTCAAAAATAAAGTTTGGTGGACGTGATCTAGTTTACAAATTTCTATTATATGAACTATAGCTGGTATTAGTACTAATATCACCCTAACGAAAATGAACTATAGAAGTCTAACAGGTACATTTTTCAAAAGAAACACTAGTCCCTACTTGCTGCAAGAACATTATACAAATATTATAGTGTTATTATAGGAGATTAAAGGTGCAACCCTTGCACGAATGAAAAAAAAAAGGCATCCTCAAAACACCTGTCACTCTCAAATTGCCAATAAAAACACTGAATAATATGAATGAATTCCAAGTTATTAAAGTTTTGTGATGTTGTTCAAGATTTGTTTACATTAATGGTGTTTGTAAACAGCATAAAACAGGCCTCTATTTTCAATTATAATCAACTGAGTAATGGTAAAAATGCTTATTTTTCATCTATGTCAAACTCTTCAATTACACATGTGAATATATCTGTAAATGCTAAAGTATAATGCTGACTGGGCCTTTAAAACAAGCGTACAGTATAATGACAGGAGTACTATAGGAATATTATAGGGAGTTTTCGTTAGGGCAGTGTGCTGGGCTGAGAACGAGTGTTGTTGTGACTCTTGATATATTCAGGGTAAGTGGATTTAATGTTATTATTATGGGTAATTATTTCCAAGTCTAAATATCAGACCGTCGCCTGCCTTCCAACCCTTTCATACTGCGAAGCTCTGTATTGTTGGCCTACCAGTGGTTGTGCTATGTATGCTCATTTTTAAACCATTTTGTACATGTTCAATAATGTGTGATGAATCACAGATGAATTAAAGCATCAGCGGTATTATTTTTCTTCTTGCTGAGTTGTGTTGCCTTATTAAAAATCCCACCATATACTATAGCCAGCCAGAATTTACTAATCATGTTAGTAAACACTAAACTGGGGTTTGGTGAAATCAAACGAAACCATCAAATATACAATTATTGTAAGAATGATTACCAAAAGGATACTTTTTTTTTTTTATCAAAATACATATTTTAATCATAAGCTCAAACATCATAAATTGCACATTATAAAAAGCAGTGATACTCACACCCACACTACACACAGCTCATTGTAAAGTCTTGGTCCCAAACACATGTAAGAGGTTACCGTATACAGATTCAAAACAGTAAGACATTTGTCATCAGTCACATTCAAAATTGTTTTTTGAACTATAGACTGGAGAGTAGTACATTTTTTTCTAAATCAATCCGTGGCGTTTACAAAATGAAACCATTCACTTCCAATATATTAATAAATGATTTAAATACAAATGACTTATAAATCTAAAATCACTCCATGGTTATGATTTCATTACCCCAATCCCCTTTACTACTTCATAGGAATTTATTGACAGCATGTAAATAAAACCCTCCCGACCTCCTTCAATTGAGCACATGACTATGAACAAACAATAAACTCACTCTCAAAAGAAGTTACATTGCAGCAATGCTTCAGGCAGAAGGCAAGCAGGCTTTCAACATGACCATTTCTTCTTTTGAAAATGTTCAACAGGATCAAACTTAATCCCATTTTCATATTCAGAAACTTCTTTGACTCACATACAGTAGTGTTGGTTCCTATATTCCTCCCCATGTTATCCTTTTTTCCTCATGGGGTTAAAATGCAGGTTTGCTCATATACTCCTCCATGGTCTGTAAAAAAAAGGCATAAAAGAGCAAAATTCTGGTTGTAAGGCTTGTTAAAATGCATTATAATACATTTAATGTTCACAGACACACATCTACACATCACCTGCTATTGAATGCTGAGCACACCAACACAAGGTAGGTAACTAACACAAGCAGAACATCTAACCTTTCTGTCCATATTCAAGGTCATCCAAACAGCTCCACCTCATACCAATCACTGTTGTCATCCTGAAGCGATAATGGTCAAAATGAATGGGAGGCTACACTGCACACAATCCAACTCTAGATTAAAACGTGTTAGTCAGCCCTACTCAGAAGCACAGAGCACACACCCAGTTAACTACTGTACCACACAGAGCCATGAACCTACAGGGAGAGCAGGAAGCATGAGCCAAACACTAAACCTACGGCGCGTTCCAGGAAAATCTGTCTCTCACTCGCAATAACACTGGCGGAGAGAGAGAGAGAGATACACACACAGACAGACAGAGGGGTAAGGAAAACAGCAACACAAACACAAATCTATATTAAAAAAAAAGGAGCAATATCCACAAGCCTATTTGCTACGACAAAACACACAAGGCACACCAGGGACTCAGCAGCACCACTGTTAATTCATTATGACACCAACTACTTCCCACTGACACAAGTTTCCATATTGGAGCTTGATTATACAGCATTGATGTGTTGATTCATTCAAATATATATTAAAAAAAAAAAGAATTCAGGACGTTTCTAAGTATCTCACAGCCGAGATTTAAAAAATACATTAACAACTCGAAAACCACATTTAAAACATGTCACTGTTTCTTTGATTATGTCGAGTCATGCAACACATGTTACATACTCAGAGAATAGAGCCAAGCCACATTCGTGCTGTGATGTGTATGTGTATGAGAAAGTGTTCCAGTGCATCTCACCTCCTGTAACATGTCTGAGGCTTCAATGGAGCGATTCACCATCTGTTTGGAGGTTTCTTGTATTTCGCCTCCCATTAGAAACTCGTCCAGGATAAAATAGGCCTTCTCAAAGTTAAAGATTATGTCCAGCTCACACACCTGAGAGGAAGTATGATGGTGATTATTATAAAAGAAGACATTTTGATATTAAAACTGCTGTTTGACGTCATCCTTAAAGTGTAGTTTGACAGTTAATATATAGAGCATGTATCAGGGCAGATAAATTATTGGTCAGTAATAAAAATCTATGTTGGATTCCTATGCAAAACATTTGATATGTATGTATGTATGTATGTATGTATGTATGAATGCCCTATGAAAGCAAGAGTATATTTATGAAGTTCTTTTGTACCCAAATAGAAAAAAATAAATGAACATTTACTGAACTGTTCTTTGTTTTGTCCAGTTTTCAGATGTGGTTGGATCAGAGCTACGGAATATTGAAGCATCTATCTATCTTTGCTCACTACATCAATAGTTCCATTGCCTTTATTGTCCTCAGGTGCACATAAACTACTGGTTATAAACTTATTTTTAAAACACAAAAGTGTGAAATTATCAGTTATCTTATTGGCATCGGCCATTAGCAGCAGGTAATTATGGGTTATTGTTGTGCATTGCTTAGCTACAATCATGCGTCAACAGTTACACTTCAGGCTACAGTTGCATATTGAATTTTTTTTAAAAAAGAGGGAAACACAATAAAATACATTGCCAAAGTATTTGTCCAGCAGCTCCACATAGCGATGAATAACCTCCAGGGCTAGCAGCTCATTCTCCTGGTTCTCTATGGCCAGGCAGAAATACAAGCTTGCATACCTGAGGAAAAGGTGACACAGTGACTATTTCCAGCTGATATAAATATATAGAGGAGTTATAAATTACATACACAGCAGGTGTAACTATGAGAAGAATAGAGACTGTGTAACATGTAGCCCACCTCTTGTAAATAATCTTCAGGTCTTTCCAGTGCAGGAAGTTACAGGAACGTGGTTGCCGTGCCAACACCATGGAGGTCATGTCCCTGATGATCTTCTTCTTCTCACGTTCTGATATGGGCGTGAACCACTTCTGCAGACGTAGCTTGCCCTGGCGGCTGAAGAGCAGCAGGAAGCGCATCTAACCACACACAAAAACACCAGCAAGATCAGAGTGGCACAAACTGAGGGAGAGGACTTGTATCAACCAACACAAACACACATGTCCACATTACTGCAGAGGACATTATTAACTACCCTCTAACACAAAGGGTCAGACGAGTGGTTCACCGGTGTCATGGCTCATTAAAGAGTAACTCCACTGACCAAACATACCACTAAAGGGGGGAAAAAATGACTGACGGGCAGGATTGTGAAGGTCAACACACGATTGAGGAAGAGGTTTCTTTCCAGTCTTCAAGAGAGCAAAGGGTTTTCGGATATTTCTTAGCACTGGAAATGGACTTGGCTGCATATCAAAGTGGAAATTAATTGTCCCCACACCTCTATCGGAACCGCAATGACACACGGTTTCCTTTACGCCTTCCTCTGATTGTGGATGTAAGAAGGGAGGCTACAGGGGTGAACAGATTGTCTCTTTGTGGAGTTTGTCATTAAATTATAAGACAGAGGGTGTTCGGTGGGTGTCACCTCTAAGTGAAATTTAGGATTTAAGGGCTAAAAGAAAACTGACTTGACTTCAAGATCTGTGCAGAAATTAGGGCTGCAGAATATGATAATGAAACAATATTGCATTCATGTGGACAGATAATGGGATTGCGATGTGATTAAGGATTAGTGGGAATGATCATTTTTGTATCACAATTAAAAATGTTAAATTAAATTCAAAATCAGTATAAGCAAACATAATATTATGTTCTTACATCTAGAGAACAAGATGTGTAGGTCAGAGCATCTCTGCAGCACTAGTACTTCATTATAAAGCTGTCTAGTTACAAAGTCGACCTCTATCAAAAAACTAAAGCTTCTGCGATTTGGATATCGCACTTATTGCGATTTCGATAATATTTCAATTAATTGGCAAAAATCCCCTTCAACCCTCACAAACCCACACATCAGCTCTAAAATGCAGCTGGTTCACTGTTCAAACACACTAACCCCCCCCAAAAAAAAAAAAAAAACCGACCAGTAATAAGTACTGGTATCCCAGTGTGCATCCCCTGTGTCAGCCATAAGCAAATTATTATGGAAAGCACTCAACTGCCACCGGGGCAGGACGTACTCGACGCAAAGTGACGAAACCTGTTCTGCTGAGGGGACCGGTTGAGGAAACTCACCTTACTTCCGCCTGTCGCTTGAAATAAAATAAAACGGACATGAAAACTCCCATGACAAACCGAAAACAGCTTCTGCTGGGCGGCCTGACAAAAAGAATGAGGCCTCGGTGTGAGAGGAAGTGGTGCAGAGGTGTAGTTTCTAGCTTTAGCTACCTGTCAGCGACAACAGGTGCGACAGGTGAACGGTCGCGGGAGGCTGACGCTATCTTACAGCGTAGAAAACAAACACTTACCATTTTTTTGACGCCAAGAACTATAAACACCAAAAGATAAGAAAAAAAAAAAAAAGAAGTACAACCCTCACAAAGGGTCAACTTGTCCGTCTGAGCACATATCTGTCCGTCTACCCGTCGTCCACCCAAGAGCCAGTGTCAAAGTTGGTTAACTCCGCCCACCTGGCCGCCTGTGTAGGGGGTGAGCGGTGCCTGCCGGACGCGTCACCACATCTCACAACCATCTGGATTGGTTATTGTAGTTTTTTGTGTTACAGAGACTCACCCTGCCAGCAGCCCGTCACAACCTTTTACACAGCGACCACGTGACGTGCACGAAGCATTTTAATGAATGAGCAGATAAAAGTTTAACTAAAATCACTTGACCGTTAGGGTGTCTAAAAAGTGTTATACCCATGCTGCGTCGGCAGAGAGCAGCAAGTGTTCCCTCTCTGCCTGCTTTCATGTGATACTGGTCCGTCACAGTGGTTGACGAGGGGACTGGCAAGCTGTTGCACTGTTTGGGGATTGTTATTCAGTCGATGACATGTCTCTGTACCGAAATGCTGTCTGGTTTTTGAATGGAATCCACCAATATACAAGGTCAGTCATCACTTCTTACTCTGGTGCTCATACAGAGATGTTAAAGAAACTGCTCTCAGGGGATGCTCTGGGAATTTCAGTCAGTGTGTGTATCGTCTAAATTGTTCTGTCTGTCTGAATGTGGTATTTATTGGTCTGTAAAATGTATTCTTATTTATATTATATATAATATTTATTTAAGCTCAAAGACTGCTAAACATAGGAATATCAAAGGTCTGGTCACTGTATGGCACACATCACCACACAAACTGGCCTTTATGTACAATTACAATAGTTCCATTGACAGCTGATGTGCCTTGAGGGTAACATTCACATCACCTGACTCAACCAAAGCTAAAATGTGGAGAAATATTGCAGATTGTCAATCTTGTGATGCTGGTTTTTGGTTGCCTTTAGGAAGGGATATGAGGCAGCATCTAAAGGCTTTGACCCCCAAGACCTGAATGTGTCCGTTGTGGGGAGGTCTTTTATGATCACTGGAGCCAACAGTGGCATTGGCAGAGCCACAGCCATGGCTATAGCCAAGAAAGGTAAATGCCGGAGAGGTATGTTCTATGTTGTGCACTTTATATTGATATAAAATAAAGTTGTTTTTGCTCCCGAGGTGGGACAGTCCACATGGTGTGTAGGAACAAAGAGAAAGCAGAAGAGGCCCGGATGGACATTGTCAATGAGTCTGGGAATACGGTGAGTTTTGTTTGCCTTGAGCATGCCTAACATTTAATGGAAAAAGAAGTGACAAATCCCATGATTTGTGTGAGTGAGACTGATACCTATCTGGTTATTGTAGGAGGTACACATCCATATTGTGGACATGTCAGAGACACTCAAAGTCTGGGAGTTTGCAGAGGCCTTCAAGAAGCAGTATCCATCCTTGAATGTGTTGGTAGGCATTGTCTCTTTCCTTTAATCTTCATCACAACTCAGATCAGATTGATTTGATCTGACAGGTCTGACTTTTCAATCTTTTTTTCATGATAGATAAACAATGCAGGGTGTATGGTGCGCAAGAGGGAGCTCAATGCCGAGGGACTGGAAAAGAGCTTTGCCACCAACACTATGGGTGAGACCTCCTTCTGATGGCCGAACAGCGCCATGCTGCTGCACAGATAACAGTTTTAACATTTGTGACTCCATCTCTTTAGGGGTGTACATCCTCACCCAGAGTCTCATACCGCTTCTCCAGAAGAGCCGGGATCCCAGGGTGGTATGAACACACACACACACACACACACACACACACACACACACACACACACACACACACACACACACACACACACACACAGACACAGACACAGACACACACACACACACACACACACTCAGATACACACAAACTCAGTGTTCATCTGCATCATGTGGACAGCATAATGCTACTTCTGTCCATGCTGTAGTGGCTGTTGTCTAAGCACACTGTGCCTCTTTTCTCCCTGACTGTTAGATCATTGTGTCCTCAGGAGGAATGCTGGTCCAGAAACTCAGAGTAGATGACTTGCAGTCAGAGAGGGGCTACTTTGATGGTGTCATGGTCTATGCCCAGAACAAGGTAGTAATTCAGGTTATAAACCAAACAATGGTGGAATGTAACTAAATACATTTACTCTTTAAGTGCTGTACTTAAGTACAGATTGGACTTACTTGTACTTGAATATTTCCACTTTTACTTTATACTTCTACACCTACATTTAGGAGGAAAATCTTCTACTTTGTACTCAACTACATTTATTTCATAGCTTTAGATTAATATTATTAATACAAAATATAAATCTAATAATAAATGATAATATATTATCATAGGTAAAGCTACCACTCGCCCCACCATAAAGATCATAATGAATATATTTTTTTTTAACTTTTGCAGATTTTGAATGCATGACTTCCACTTGTTAACAATGAGAAAAACTCCTGCACACTCTCGCTTACAGCTGAAAAAATATTTCATTATTTACGACATTTTGGTCTGTATATGGGCAGCATGGCAACACTTTCATATACTGTTAATATAGAAGCACATATAGGAGCTGCCTCAATCATTCAGTTGTCCAATCAGTTTCATCCAGTTTCAACCACTCAAAGCATATGTCACTAGAAAAATGCAAAAATGATTCAATACAGTAATGCCATTAAATCTTAAGCAACATCCAAAAACTATAAAACTAGAAGTTAATTTGAGAGCAAACTGAAACATCACAAACAGCGTGTGTGGTGTGCAGAGATGTTTTTCTATGTATCTTGCGGGACCTTTACTTGTAACAGAGTACTTTAACACTGTAGTATTTCTACTTTTACGTATTAATATTTCTCAACTTTGTCTGTCTCTCAGGGTTTGGATTTGTCTGTATAATGGGGAACAGAGGAAAAAAGACATAAAATAGTAATGGCGAGAGAACAGGTACTTACAGAGGTAGTGAATGCTGTGGAGGTAACTATGTGCTGTTCCCTCTCAGAGACAGCAGGTGGTGCTGACACAACAGTGGGCCAAAGCCAACCCAGTCATTCACTTTTCTTCAATGCATCCAGGCTGGGTAGACACACCAGGTACTGACTCATTATACAACTCTCCCAGAGGGAAAGCTATTGTTGCTGCACATGTCAATGAACCGAAAATGGCACACACACACACACTGCAATTGCACATCCATCCTGTCCATCAAATGGTATACTGACAATTCTCCTGATGGTGGTGCTATAGCAAATGTTTAAAGATCAAAACTTTGAAAATTCATTTAAAAGTAACCAAACCAAAACTCACCAGACACTAACTACTGCTGGGAGTGATGTGAGTTTACAAGTTCTCTACAGGCGACAGTTTCATAGTAATAATAAAAAAGGATCAGTGAATGGTTTTCCTTTTCAAAAACAAAACAAAATGGCTGTCCACCATCTAAATCTATTTCATTGCTTTGAAAATGCATCAGAATTCAAGTCCAAAACACACAAATTCTGTGACCATAAACAGTTATGTAAACATCAGCCTTCATATCTAAACAAGTATTTACCTAATAGCTGTGATCTTAAGCTGTGAGCACAGGATGAGACTTTATTTATTTAGACAAATTTTCATATTTTAAATAAATGAAGTGTTGAAATGAATTGAGCATTCATTAGATTATTATGAGCATCTAAACGATTTAAAGGGGATATTTTTATTTTTATTTTATATAAAGTTCAGTGAGGACCTACTTTTGAAAATGCACCTTTGACTGAACCTGCAGATCATTCCTGATTATTCTTAATCGGTCCGTAATAGAAACCTTTTGCTAACAAACTCTGGCTGATTTATGTCCAGCTGTGTCTACATCAATGCCTCAGTTCCACCATATGATGGGGGAGAGGCTGCGCAGTGTCGAGCAAGGAGCTGACACTGTTGTGTGGTTGGCTTTGTCGAGAGCTGCTGCCAGAACAAGCAGCGGGACGTTCTTTCAAGGTGAGCATCACAAAGCCTGACAAGTTCTTTCACTACACATACAGAGATGTTACTCTCATTTCTTTTTCTATCTCCATAGTGGAATTCAGTCATCATGATCATGTGGAATCACTCGTTCTGACAGTGACTGTTTTATGTTGTAGATCGTAGTCCTGTTCCTGCCCACCTACCTTTGGCCTGGACTCGCAGTTCTGCTGAAGAGATTCAGAGTTTCATGGCTCAACTGGAGACTCTGGCCGGAGTCATTCAGTCGCAACCTGATGCAGAGCTTAACAGTCCTTCCAGACCTCAATTTGTCTGAATTGTAATTTAATGTTACATGGTATGTTGTTGACCCATTAAAGATCTATTACTGAAACAGCTGGCACATTTGTCATATTCTGCCTTGTCTAATTTAGCTCTTCATTCTATCCATTAATTGTAAAGACACATATTTTCAGGACAGTGCATGGCTGAGTGTCACTGGATTTATTTCTGGACTATTGATTTAAAGACTAAATTTATTTGGATTGAATATCTCAGAAGCAATTAGCAAATGCATGTGAAACAATATGCCCGTCTATTATCTAGATGATAAAAGGGGTTTCATTGGGTTGTCTGCTGGATGTGATTTTGATTTTTGACTTGAGGCTCACACGTGGAGAAGTGTATCAGTGTTTGCAGTGGTCTGCAGTGCTCACATATTAGATATGTAGTACATACTGCTCCACCTCTGAAGTGGTTAGACATTTCATTAAGTGGTAATTATAGTGGCTCATTAAAAGCTCAGTCTAATGAAAGTAATACCAATTCCCTTTATATAATAGTCCTGCTTTCATACTGACTGCAATTTGAAAGGATGGAGGTAAATTTGTAAGAGTCAAATGTAGAAGATGAGCTAAGTATTTCTGGGAAAAACTACAGCGCATCAATACTCATTATTTTTATTTTTGTTTTGTAACAATCCACATTTGCTGTTTTTAATAATTTTATTATTTTTATACAGTATTGAAACAAAAAAATAATGTGGTGCATTCACATTTTTCCCAAGGGATTCTTTGCAAGTTTGATCTCTACAAGGGTAAAACAGTGAAAAGCTTGAAGCTGGATCCATCCATGTTAAAACTCACAGGGAATAGGAAGACTGGGCCTGATTTAAAAATCATCTACAAGTTTTGATGGATTTTTTTTTCTGCGGCAACATTTTATTCCCCATTTACGTGTGTTTACTGTGTTTTTGTAAGGGACGATGAATCAGGTTCCCAGCATTTGTCTTTAAAAGAAACTTCCAGTCCATGCGTAACAACAGTCCAAAGAAAACAAACAAATCCCATCCTCCTCGTCCAGTCTCTTCCTCTCGTCATCCACAGTTCATCTTCTATGCAACGTAGGTGTACACTTTACGGTCTTCTGGCGTTCTTGCCAAGTATTCTCTTTCTATTAGTCCTTCTATACGCTTTTTGATTACCACAGGGCTGGGAAGAAAACGTGCCCGGAGCTGCTGAGTTACCTGAAGACACAAAGTGGAAGAAAAACAGAAAACAACACCTTTTAAGTTACATTTCTCTGCAGGACATCTCACGCACAATATAATATTATGAAATTATGGGATCAAAAAGTAAAGAAGATGGAAAATGACTGGATAAAATTGTCCATTGTTCAAGCAAGACATAATTTGTATTTCCATATGGGTTCCTTACCTCTGCCACCAGGACGTTGTGCTGCATCTTCTTCCTTGACTTCATGATTCGGACAATGGCTGCCTCAATCTCATGCTTCCTGTCATCATCCACTTTCTGCCGCGTCTCTTTCCTTTCGGGGTCTGATTCCCCTTGTTTAGCAGCAACTGGGAAAGTAGGATACAGGGACAAGATGAGGTTTAAAGAGAAAATGTAGGAAATCTCTCAAGGCACTGTTTTATATTAGGAGAAATGAACCCTTGTAACCACAAATACATTATGCAACAGACAGTAGTGGACAACTGGCCCAGATGTGAGGTGAGACTTGAGCTCTTTGTAGCGACAGTATATGTTGTACACAAACTTTCCTCACCTGTCTGTATTTTGACTCTGTGCAGTTTAGAAGTAAACTGATCATTGACTGTAAACACGTGGCCGCTCTCAATCTCTTTGGACTTTGGTTCCTTGGTGAGAACTCTCTGTGTCGGCTTCCCACAGGCCAAAGACTGCAACGCTCGCACTAACTCCCTCTCAGGAATATCTGTTTCCTGCTGGATCTCCTATACATGGGGACAAACGGGGAAATAAGGTTGTAAAAAACAACAAACCTCTACAAAGACAACAAAGAATGAGTAAGATTAATATAGATAATGGTGCTTCACTGTGCCCCCACCTCAAAAGTGCACTTCTCTCTGTTATTGAAGAGCATGAGGATGGTCATCTGGAAGGTGGAGACCTGCAGTATGTGCTTCCGGGTGTTAGAACCTGTTACCTGAGCACCTCCCACACCTACTTCTGAACCATCCTCCTGCAGATTAGGTAGAAGGGAAGGTGAATTTATAAATGATAATACCATTGTATACTGAATTATGTGGCTTACGATAAAAAAAAGAAATTTTTGGGTCTACCTTTTTAATAGTTCCGTAGAAAGTTGCGTTTAGGTCTGCCCCGCCCATGTGGTGTTGCAGTGTGAGCTGTCTACCACTGTGCTTAGCGAGGTAAAACCTGGAAAATAAAAGCCAGGACCGAGTTCTTTAGAAACCCCACAGAACAACACTGAGCCTTCGTATGTACAGTAAAACATCTGAGTGAATTTGAGAGCATTACCTTCTAAAGACTTCAAAGGCGTGTCTGGGAGCTGGGGGGATGGTGCATTTAGGTGTTGCTGACTGTGTAGGCCAGTAGCCAGTAGTGAGGACTCTTACTGTGAGGTCCACACCACTTAGAGATGCCTTAAAGAGATGTATAGAAGTTTATACTCAGTAGCATTTTAACAGACTCACTCCCAATCTAGTGGAAAACATCTGTTTAATATGTCTTATTAATAGTTTAGTCTTTCTTAAATGGCGCTGACTGTCTTACCGACGTAGTTTGTATGTGTTGCCTGAACTCATCCATGGTAGTGTTGGAGATGCTCATATCTCTGAACATCCCTTCCAGTTTTGACGTAAACTGACAGCCACATTCTGTCTGTGAGGGAGAAAGACAGATTTATGGTGACAGGGTGACGGCAGGGCAACATGAGCAGAGAAGAAGAAACAAAGAGGAACAGTACAAGGCATATGTATACACATCTGTATCCAGAATGTTCCAATACCATTTTTTCCAGGGGGAGGCAAACAGGACACTGCTGGGAAGTAGCAGGGTCCTGTTTTGGGGCTAATAAATCACGCGGTATTCGATTAGTGCACAGACACGCATATTCGCCAATATATTGCCTTTTAGGCAGTATCGAGGATGTTTACGAACTCTAATCAAGAAGCTTCTCACTCTTTTACCTTGAGCTTAGAGATCATGTTCTTCTCTGAGTCGTCTGAGACACTCTTGTTGCTGAGCAGCCTGCGGCCCAAATGCTGCTTATAGTACCTTTCAAACACATCTTTCTCCTGCATAAACCTGAATAACACCATGGCCTTGTCAAGGATCGACTCCACCTCCTGTTCTGTCAACTGGTCAACGAGACAGGGAGAAAAAGAAAGTGGTTAAGTACAGGACATGCAAAAAATAGATAAATAAATAAAACCTCTTGCAGATCATGAAAATGTAAAAAATATTTTCTGAAGAGAAAATAACCTTCTTACCCCTTTGACACCCTTCTTAAGCTTGTCATCAATAAAGAGTGATAGGTACTCTGGTGAGCGGGAGTTGAGGTTAAGGAAATACTCAAAGTCTCCTGCTATGGTTTGTTTGAAGAGTCTGTCATTGTTGAAGGACTCAAGAAGGAAACGATCAAATCGTGTCTTCAGGTCTAGCAGGCCCTGTTAAAGATGCAATTGCAAAGAGGTGACATAATCTATACGACACATTTCTCTCACACTTACAATATCAAGCAAGGCTCTCCAAATGTCTAAGTCTTGAGACACGAGATTGTGTTTTTGGACTCATTGCTCAACCAGCATACCTGAATATAGTCGACAGGGTTCTTGCCCTCTCCTTCTTCTGACACCAGAGCTTTACCTTGCTCCCTCAAGTAAGAGCTCATGCACTCGCACATCGTTTTCAGGCCATTTGGCACACGACTGAACAGCTTGTACATGCATGCGAGGTCTGAGAGGGAGACATGGTGGGAAAAATAATGAGTAACAAAGGCTGACAAAAAATATAACAAATTGGTGGCTCTGAAATTCATTTTATTTCAAAACCATAATAACTGGAAAGAGAGAAATCAATTAGGCAAAGCTTTTACCTTCTGTCTTGCCGTTCTTGAGCATATGGACGAGGCCAGAGTTCTCCATCTCAACAATGGTCTTCATGTGTTTAGAAATGAGCTCCCTTTCCACCACCTTGACAATGGGCTCCTCCGTAGTCTTGTCCAGGCAGTGCATGACTCGCTCAATCTCTTCATTGATTCTGGCCTCTACCTTCTTAATATAGACACTGGCACTGTTTTCTGCTAGGAACTTTTGGCTCTCCATCTGAAAGAGCAGATATTGTGTTTTATTTCAAAGATTTTCAGTGTGTATATATATAGACACACCCAAGAACCTCCCAAAAACTTACCTGGAAGAATTCCGCTGACATATCTAAGAAAGGGCCCTCAAAGTCCTCCTCATATACAGAACGGCCATCCAGGCCAAGAATCATCAGCATCTGGCAGGCGTTTCTGATGGCCCCCCTACAATAAATGATAGAGAAAAGATTCCATATCAGCAATTATTAAAAAGCCCATGTTTTCATTTTCAAAATAACACATTGCAATAATAAGATCTATTAAAAAATAAGCAACAAAAAGTAAATGCCTGTCTGTGAATAAAGGTGAAAACATATAAGATCAAGACAGATATCTAAGAAACTTGCAGAATGTGAGCCAATTTTCTAATTCAGCCAATATATGGGACATCACAGTAATCCTTTAGATTAAGCAGTGAAGTAGTACTCCAGCATACCTGTCTACAACCTCTCCCTTCCTCTCACGAGCAATCATGTCCAGTAACGTCTGTCGTAGGTGGTCTCGAATGCAGCCGTAGCGTACAACCTGGTCCCTGAATATGATGAGGCCGAGGTTGTACACATTCTCCACATTGTTTTGTTGAACATAGACGCGGTCCTGGGAGACCAGACAGAATGGGGTGAAAAGACACACTATGTATGGAAAGAAGTACTATAGTCCAAACTTACTCAATTACATTCATATAAATGTATACATGCTGACAAATGAAATTAAACTTTAGAAGCACATGTAAAACTACTGTATACAGTA